ATAACTACAGTGGACCTAATTCTCCAAAGATAGAAAATCCTTTGATCATCATTCTCAAATAGTGCTAGCCTCCCAAATTAAATTTCACCTTTGGCAGCTGTTCTGATCCCATGGAGCACCATTTGTCACAATGAACATTAAGCAAGTAAACTATGTTCAACAAGAAAGGGTCACCTAATTGAACTGACTCTTGGATCTTTACGCCTTGTTGCTTATGCCAGGACACAGTTTTTGCCTTTAATTATTGGAATGCATCATTTGGAAAAGTTAAAACCAGTGCCATGATTGCAAATGATTCCCCACTGGTAGAACCTCACTAAAATCAATGGGGCTTCACTGACCTAAGAACATTTATAATCATGACTCTCCTCTATACAGAACCAATTACGTTTTAATTATATTTAAAGTCTGTGCTCAAATCCTAGTAATAGGATAACGAATACTAGAGAAACGTGCATGAAAAAGGAAAGACGGGGTTTGGCATTATGTGAAGTGGATTCCAGCAATAGTGAGCCATATGAGTTGGTGTTCACCATACAGTTTTCAATCTGTCTAAAACCTTGAATGGTGTCAGAACCGACAGTACAAAATTAAGTGACATTACATACAAAAATTTCCAGTATTCCCCTATCTGGATGCTATGATCTTAAACTCATTGACCTTCAAGCCATAGGACTACTTCATTAAACCATGTCTCATTTTTTTTTAAAAAGCAAAATCCTTCTGGACCAGACAAATCTTGGTAAAATAAGCAGGAGCTATAGGAGAAGCAGTACCCAGGGACTAAAATGACCTGTTGGTACACTTTCTGCTGCACCATACCTTAAAAGCTGCCATTTTGGATGTCATTTGAATAGCCCAGGACCATATAACACTATGGTTATTCCACTTGAACTGTCATGCTTCCAACCTATGAAATCCTGGGGTTTTTAGTTTAGTGAGACACTAGAGCAGTGGTTCTCAACCTGTGAGTCCCCAGGTGTTTTGGCCTACAACTCCCAGAAATTCCAGCCAGTTTATCAGATGTTAGGATTTCTGGAAGTTGAAGGCCAAAACATCTCAGAACCCACAGGCTGAGAACCACTGCACTAGAGCTCTCTGGATCAGAACTCTAAATATTCCTTCATAGATTGCCAGTACCCTGACTCTATAGGACGAAACCATGGCAATTCTTGGGAGGTCTGACTTGGCCACGGTGGTCCACACTCTGGTTACACCCCACATAGATTACTGTAATGCACTCTACATGGGGTTGCCTATGAAGACTGTTCGGAAGCTCCAGCTAGTCCAATGCTTGGCAGCCAGGTTGCTCACTGGAGCAGGGTACAGGGAGTGTACAACCCCCTTGTTACGCCCGGTCCAGTGGTTGCCTATTAGCTTCCAAGCACAATTCGAAGTTCTGGCCTTGACTTAGAAAACCCTAAATGGTTCCGGCCCAGCTTACCTGTCTGAATGTATTTCCCTCTATGAACCCCCAAGGACCTTAAGATCATCTGGAGAGGCCCTGCTCTCAGTCCCAGCGCAATCACAGTTGTGCTTGGGAATAAGAGCTGGGGCTTTCTTGTTGGTGGCCCCTCAGCTGTGGAACTTCCTTCCTAATGAGATCAGATCTGCCCTCTCCCTTGTGACCTTCTGGAAGAAACTCAAACCCTGGTTATGGGATTAAGCATTCACAGAATAGATGGTTTTAACGGACTATTTTTAGCTGACTGCAATGGATTGATTTGGAAGATGATGTGAAATGGCGAACTGTTTTAATGTATTTATAAGTGTTTTTAATGTAGGTTATGTGTATATTATGTTTGTTTATTGTTCAGCACTGAATGGTGCCTGTTGGTAGCCATCCTGAGTCCCTCTTCAGAGGTGAGAAGGATGGGATAGAAATGCTCCTAATACATAAATAAACAATTCAAGTGGAATAATAGTGCTATATAATTCTACAGTGTGAGAGGGCCCTTGGTGTATAGGTTCATGTAAAAGCTAAGAAGCAGTATGAAAGATCAAGAGGTGATCAAGAAGGTTTTTCCCAGATAAAATGGTTTCCATCACCATAACCAGGAGAGCCTAATATATGCCTTCTGCCTTCCATGCATATATCCTCAAAACATGCTATGGAAACATAGAATGCTCTTTAAAAGAATTTTTTGTGAGGCACAGAAGGCTGTGGGGAAGTGGAATGAAAGAAAGTCCTTCACACTAGTGATCAGCTTCAAAGGACTCCTTCACCTTGTATACTGTGATAACCCTTTAACTGGCTTGGCCTCATTCTGTGAAAACTTGAGATTTATCATTGGATGAGGTACCAGAGATGTTGGAAGAGATTTTTAAATGCTTCATGGTGATGTTAGATTCAGACCAAAAAGAACTGTTCCTATAAGTTGGACTGTCTATGAAGTTCTTTCAGTGCTTTCTAGAGACTGAACTACTCAAAGCACAGCTGGAATATCTGGGAAGTGTGCCAAAAAAACTTATCTTGATTTTTTTTTCAAGTAAGAGGAAGTTGAAAAAAAAAGTAATTTTGGTTTAGTTCCATTTTCCACTATTGACAATGTATATAAAATTCAGATATGGGAGCAAGCCCCAAAGTAATTTTTGAAACTGCATGAGAAGATTTTAATAAGTCTATTTTCATCATTAATGCCATATGATTAGAGAGTTGGTGGGTGGGTGGTGGGAAGGTAATCAGATTACATTTTAAATCACGGTTATTATTGGCTTTTGAAAGATTATCCTGACAATAAAGATGAATGCTCTAATAGATCACCCAGAACTTCACGTTTTATGCCAAACCCTCCTGACACCCAGCTTCAAATACAGCCCAAGCTGACATTAGTTGTTCAGCTCTATCAAACTGGAAATTTTGCATTATTAAATTACAGTTGCTATGGAAACTCTTCTGTGATTTTTTGCTTGGTGGCAGTGGATGAGAAACTTGGCACCAATTCATGCATTGGAGCATAGCGCTTGATTATGGTTCTGGCAAAGGAATGACATTAGGTGGGAAAGAGCAATAGAAACAGTAACCTATCCCAGTTTCGCTTAACTTGGAAGGATCCTGCTTTCAGTTGTGATAATGGTGTAGAGAGCACAGTAGACTACATAGACTTTGGGGGTTTTTTTTTTACAGCACAATGTTTCTTATTCTGTTACATTCTTATACAGCAGGTTATTTCTTAAGCAGCTGGTATCTGCTCAGTTGGATGTCAGAAGTGAAGATATATTCCCAAATGGAGTGCATCTTCTTTTCTCCAGAAATCCCAGCCAGTTTACCAGCTTTTGGGAATTGTGGGAACTGGTCCAAAACATCTGGAGGAGCAGAGTTTGAGAAACACTGCTCTAAAGCTTCAGAATTTCACAACTCATATATTTGCTTGTCTCTTAATCTTGGGGAGGGGGCTATCATGGCTTGAAAACAGCAGGATGTATTTTAAAAATTGCCCCACCATATCGTAGCCAAGAAACAGTTTGCAGTTTTTTCAAAGTATAACTTTTTAGGCCTGTAAAATGAAAAAAAAATGAAGTAATATATAAACATCATTAATCATTATGCTACAGTTATGCTGATTTCCACGTTTCTTATTGTCATTAACTTTTACTATTTTTTAGTCTTTTCCAAAGACTCGTGTCATTTTATCATTTACCTGTCAACTTATGACAACCCCATGAATTTCATAGGGTTTTCTTAGGCAAGAAATATTTAGGTATGTTTCTTCTTCAGAGATATAATATCCTGAGATTAATCCTTCTGGCATCTAGTGAGATTCCACACTTGTTTTGTTCTAGAAACATTGATTTGTCAATTTGGCAGTCTATAGTTAACTGCATCGCTCTTTTCAAGCATATTTTGGATTAGACTTTGCCTGTCATCGTTTTTCCAACTTTCATGTCCACATATAGAAATCAAAAATACTGTGGTATGGATGATTTGGACTTTTCTATTCAGTAATACAGTTATAGATAAAGTAGAGGTCTCTATAGTACGATGCTACCTTTCTACTAAACTCCTGCTATTAATATAATCTTGCTATATAAAAGTAAGAATGAAACAAAACTGGAAAAGTTCAGTACTTAACCACCTACTCTGAGAAGTAACAGTAACCAAGGTGCAAGTTTTGGAGACATACCTTTCTGAAATTTTTGCAGGTTTTGTCTTATCAGATTACTTTGTAGTAATTTACAGATTTGTTTCACATGCTTTCAACTTCATCTGGTTCAGTGTTTTATTTCTTAAAGATAGCAACTTGTATGAAAGTCAATATGGTATGTACATTTAGTCCTCCATATCCATGGCTTGTACAAATTTTGATTTTTACCATTCTACATACTGTGGATTTTGGCATCCCCAATAGGTCCTGGAACCAAAGTCCAGCAGATACTAAGGATCTACTGTATTTGAGTTTTCAAACCATTTCTTTCTATGCATTTTTTTTTCTGGAAAAGGTACACCTTTATTGCGTGCAGAAAGGAGCCTTCTACTTCTTTTTGGAGACACCTACAGTTCTGCCCCTGCATCCGGTGGTCTTAGTGTGCTGTCCTTGAATACGGAGATCCCAGAAGTGCAGGCCCCAGTGGGCCCGGATCTTTTTCAGGTGCTCCAGGACCTTGCAGAGCTTGTTGTCTAGCTCATTGGCCAAAACTTGGCTGTACTTCTGGGGAGGCTCTTCTCTTCTGGAGAGGCTCTGTTCTCGATCCCACCTTTGTCACAGGCACGCCTGGCAGGGACGAGAGACAGGGAATTCTCAGTGGTGGCTCCTCCCTTCCTGGGGATATTAGATTGGCCCCTCCCTACTGGCATTCTGAAAAAAAGTCAAAACCTGGTTCTTTGAACAAGCCTTTGGAAACACAGCATAATGGATGAACCCAGGAAAGAGTGAACATGGAATGGCTTAGACAATGTTTTTGGAAAATGAGTTAATAAAAAGTCACTGGTGATTATGTTTTTAATGATTTTTACATGGTTTTTATAATGTGCACTAAATGTTTTAAATTGTGTTTCATGACTATTTTGGCATTGAATTGTGCCAGTTGTAAGCCGCCTTGAGTTGACTCTGGGCTGGGAAAGGTGGCATAGAAATGCTGTAAATGCTATAAATAAATAAATACTTCCCATTCTTGACGTCCTTCTGTTGTTGAGGAACCAGTTGGGGAATCTTGTACTGCTGGGGGTTCTGCATGATGGTGATCATGTGCTCCCCCTCATCCTCTGTGAGTTTGCCAGCCCTCTTGGTCAGGTCAATGTTAGCCTTCTTCAGCACCATGTGGGCATAGTGCCAGCCCACTCCCTTGATGGTGGTGATGGTGAAGGCAGTCTTCCTCTGCTCATCAATGTTGGTATTGAGGACGTGAAGGATGTGCTGGAACTTCTCTGGGACCATGAAAAGTTATTATTATTATTACTATCCCTGCCCTCAGCAACCCTTGAAGAAAGCTACATAAATACTTTTTTTGTAGAATAAAACTTTTTATTTTTTAAAAAAAAGTTTTTATTTAAAAAAAATCAGTAGAATCAGTATATTTAACAGAAAGGGATAGACTAAAACATCAGTTCATGACTTAATGTAAGAACAGGGAGGTAGCATAGATATTTATTTTATTATATTCATTTTAGACATTTTTACAGGGAAAAACTACACAGTAGCATATTTTGCCTCTAGTCATTTTGCAACATGGTTGCTCATTTATTTGATGTGATTTATGAAAGTGCAAGTTTTTTTAGGTGTATTTAATGTTATTAGAAGCATTTGAGATGCCCAAGGTAGTGAATGAACCCATGGAACAGCTGCATGTTCAATATGCAGACTAGCATTCAGACAGCATAATATGCCTTAGGGGTTGCATTGGGAGAGAATCAGCTCCCAGCAAAAGCTGTGAAACACATGGGTCTCTGATGTACAATGATGCAGGTCTGATAACTGAGTTTAAGAATATTTTGACAACAAATTCACTAGTTTATGTTATGTTCTCTCAATCTGATCTGAAACATAATGTTTGATCATTATTTTTGCAAAAAAAATAATATCTGGGGTCCTTTCGACACAATTATAATATTATATTTCACTTCAACTAGCATTGGCCAAATCCTATGGCATCCTGGGATTTCCAGTTTGGTAGGCACTGGGCTCCCTCATTGAGAATTCTAAATGACTTTCCCGAAACTGCACAGGTTGTTTCCAAGGCAGCCAAAATGGAATCATAGCAGTATAATTATGTCATGATGTCTTGTTAGCCGCCTCGAGTCCCCTTCGGGGAGATGGTGGTGGGGTACAAATAAAGATTAATATTATTATTATTTTACTGACACAAAACAAAGTATGTCACAGCAAATGATATCTATATGCTGGATTTCGAATCACAAAATCACAAGACAAACACTTCCCAAGCGTCTAGAACTGTGTGATGTATTTTTGAATGATGCCTGCAGATCCAAGTAAGGTGGCCTTTTGCAGTTGACAGATCATGATTTTGTCAATGTTTATTGTTTCCAAATGCCAGCTGGACCTTTTGGCACAGCACCTAGTGTGCCGATGACCACTGGGACCACCTGTGCTGGTTTATACCAGAGCCTTTGCAGTTTGATTTTGAGGTCTTGACAGCGGCTGAGCTTTTCCTGTTGTTTTTCCTCAATGCAGCTGTCACCTGGTATGGCGACATCAATAATACAGACTTTTTTCTTTTCCACAATCATGATGTCTGATGTATTGTGTTCCAAAACTTATGACAGTCTGGATTTGAAAGTCCCACAGTATTTTTGCGTGTTCATTTTCCATGACCTTTGCGGGTTTATGATCCCACCAATTATTATTATTGTACCTTATTGTTATTATTATTGTTGTTGTTGTTATTATTATTATTATTATTATTATTATGCCTTATTATTATTATATCTTATCATTATATCTTATTCTTATTATTCTGCTTGAGAGTACCCAAAGGGAATCTAAAAACCTGAAAAGTTGACATAACATCACTTGGATGCATCCAAACTTTTCTTCCTGCATTTAACTCAGAACACCACTCAGATAACACGATTTAATTGTCAAAACAGCACCCTGCATGTCTTTAAAAAATCTTGCTCTATTTAAAGAGATTATTGTTTCAACAAATGTGGCTCTCAGAAAGCTATGTTTCCATTTCTATATTAAATACTAACATAGTGCAAAAGCTTGCAGTATACATGTTTGTGTGTGTAGTAACAACAGCAACCCCTACCTACATATACAACACACACAGGTGGTCATGGAGACTGAGTTATTCCAGCTTGTACAGAGTATTTCTTATATTATGCCTCCTCACCAATGTATTCTTTAAAAGTAAAAGTGTGTTTATACAGATACTAGCTTGAAGATTAGAATAATGTGACTGCTACCTATGTGTTGATAAATACAAAGATTTCTGCTAATCAGATGACTTGTAATTTCAAGCAGTTTAAATTAGATTTTGCAGCTTATTCTTACTAAGTTTTGTTTACTTCTTTGGGGCTGAGATCCTTTTTTGGAAAACATTTCATTTTGAGGGTTGCTATAAAGGAATATAAAGTCTATAAAACAGAACAAAGCACATTTCCTCCCAGAAAAACATATCTCATGAACAAGGGCTAAATACACACACATATAGTTTGTGTGTATATATATACATTAAGTCCAGAGCTTCTCGAGCATGTATCAGTTGAGGCAAGAAGCTTAGGAGAAATGCTATGCTTGATTCCTCCTTGATATTACAGAGTCATTTCTTTTCAAGAGAGTTTGGAAAAATTACTCTTTAGACTACAACTTCTACATTTTCCCAATATGACTACTGGCCATACTGGTTGGTAGATTTTCAGAGTACAGTATTGCTTTTTATCTTGAGCCTTCAAGTTGTTTCTGGCTTTGGGCAACCCTAAGGTGACCAAAAGTTTTCCTTGACAAGATTTGTTCAGAGAGTGTTTGCCTTTTCCCCCACTGAGGCTGATAGAGTTTGACTCGCCCAGGATCACTCAATGGATTTCAGTGCTGGAGTGGAGTCCCGTTTTTAGACCACTGCACTGCAATGGCTCTCTTTTGAGAGTATTACTCATTTAAAAAGTAAATCAGCCCCCCAGCGGTGACTGATTTGTGGAATGAAAAGACTTAGTTGGCAATTACTGTTAACAGCACCTTCTCCACAATCACTGTGTATTTATATACAGGGATGTCTAATGTGGAATTTATTGCCATAGTAGCAAAGTTTATTTCCTTGTTGACAATGCTTTTTTATTTGTTCATGACAAATTATAAACCAAATAAGCTGGAATGGCCATCCATGACTCAGTTATTTCTCAGTGAACTTATGACATTTGTTCATTCCACAACCTCTCTTGAACAAATAATTAGCAGCTACATGAAGAGATATACATATAATTATAGCAAACAGAGGGTTGTCTATTTTGGCATGCAAGGTTTCACACAGGGATTAGGAAGGGTGTTAAAGGGAAAAATAACATAAGCAGAACAGAGTTATACAGCTTGAGACAAAAAAAAAGGAGAAGCAAAACTAGCAAGGAAGAAAAAACAGAAATAATTATCTCCATAAATTGCTTTTTGCTAACATTAATTCTTGTAGCCTGAAGGATGGTTAAGGTGCAGCTGAAAAGAATGTGGAAATACAATCTGATCTCTTTTTTTGATAGTGTTACAAGCTGGGTAGAGCGTGGAACGCCGTGGATGTAGAGTATCTGGATTCCAGTAAGGCCTTTGACAAGATCCCCCATGACCTTTTGGCAAACAAACTAGCTGAATGTGGGCTAGGCAAAACTACGGTTATGTGGATCTGTAATAGATTAAGTGAACGAACTGAAAGAGTGCTCACCAATGCGTCCTCTTCATCCTGGAAAGAAGTGACTGTCATGCGTTAGCATGAGTAGCATGCAGATTGACTCTAGCCCAGTTAACTGTGTGTGTGATGAATTGGCTCATAAAAGAAAAATACACGAGACTTCAACTTAAAGTAGAAAAGAAAAATATTGTTGTATTGGCAGCATACAAAAACAAAGTAGCAGGATTACTGTTTCCACAAAAATAACATGAAACAATATCTTCTGAGAGATATCACTACTCAGCTGAGATAAGCAGGAATCCTTGTCCTCTTCTCATGGCTGTGTCTTCGCAGGACATCTGCAGCATATTCCCCGGCTTACACAAAGCAGAACGGCACAGAGGCATAGATGCACAATAGCATAAACGCACAATGGCAAAGAACTAAACACACAGTAGCTATCTTTATACACATGAAAATAACACTCTCAATTAACTCTTCAATTAACTGAAACAGCTGTAGCACAAACAGCCTTGAACCTTACAGCAACTTAAAGTTATAGCACAAACAACATTGATCCTTACAACAACTTAGATAAAGTACGTTGCAACCTCTTAGTAGCAACAGTGACGAGTGGAGTGTTGTCTGGTTCTGTCCTGGGCCCAGTCCTGTTCAACATCTTTATTAATGACTTAGATGAAGGGTTAGAAGGCATGACCATCAAGTTTGCAGACAACACCAAATTGAGAGGGATAGCTAATACTCCAGAAGACAGGAGCAGAATTCAAAAAGATCTGAACTCATTAGAGAGATGGTCCAAAATTAACAAAATGAAGTTCAACAGGAATAAATCCAAGATACTCCACTTAGGCAGAAAAAAAAAGAAATGCACAGATACAGAATGGGGTATGCCTAACTTGACAACAGTACATGTGAAAAAGGAGTCCTCATGGAGAACGAGTTAAACATGAGCCAATAATGTGATGCTGCAGCTTAAAAAGCCAATGGGATTTTGACCTGCATAAATATGTGAGGCAAAGTCATAGGGAGGAGGGAGCAAGCTTGTTTTCTGCTGTCCTGGAGACCAGAAGACAGAACAATGCCTTCAAATTTCAGGAAAGGAGATTCCACCTGAACATTAGGAAAAACTTCCTAACTGTGAGAGCTGTTCAGCAGTGGAACTCTCTACCCCGGAGTGTGGTGGAGATTCCGTCTTTGAAGGCTTTTAAACAGAGGCTGGATGGCCATCTGTTGGGGGTGTTTTGAATGCAATTTTCCTATTTCTTGGCAGGGGCTTGGACTGAATGGCCCACAAGGTCTCTTTCAACTCTATTCTATGAGTATATGGGACATGTGTGGAGATGGCAGATGCTGGGGAGTGAGAAGTGGGAATCAATGCTGGAAGACAAACTGATATGGGCTCACATGGCCTAAAGCTAGTTTGCTATAGCTGTAGTGACAAAACAAGGCTCAGCTGCTAGTCTGATCAGATTCTGCAGATGCAAATGCCATTTTTTCCTGGAGTTGGAAAGAATATTGCAAATGTCTTGTGATAAACAGAGAATAAGGTATTGTAGGTGCTATTCCTTTCATACTGCCAACA